ACTTGGTGCAAGGGATGGTTTTCAATTCATGGTGACAGGAAAGGGAATTGAAAAGATTTGCAAAACCCACTCTTAGTTTTGCACAGGGTTACTTCTGTTGGCGAGTTCCCTGGCCCGGTCGCTGTGCCACAGCAATTTTCGCTGCCACAGAAAGCTCTCCAGCTTGAGGAAGCAGCCGATTCGATGGCGATCAAGACATAATGCCAAGTGGCTACCAAGTGGCCCTTGGTTTGACAAGGGGTGTGAAATAGTTTTAGGATTTTTTTTTTGAGCAGGTTTGGGATTTTTTTTTGATTTCTTGGCTGGTAAGAATTTGCCTAGTGTTTGCAACGGTTTGGGCCTTGAATTTGTCATTTTGCATGGTATTTGGCCACATTTGGGCATGTTCACCTTCCATTTTGCATGAGATTTCCTGCATGTGGGCGTGTTCACCTTCCATTTTGTATGGTATTTGCCACATTTTGGCATTTTCACCTTCCATTTTGCATGGGATTTGCTACATGTGGGCGTGTTCCCCTTCCATTTTGCATGGGCTTGGCCACATTTGGGCATGTTCACCTTCCATTTTGCATGGGATTTCCTACATGTGGGCGTGTTCACCTTCCATTTTGCATAGGATTTGCTACATGTGGGCGTGCTCACCTTCCATTTTGTATGGGATTTGCTACATGTTGGCATGTTCACCTTCCATTTTGCATGGGGTTTTCTACATGTGAGCATGTTCACCACATCATCATGCCAACCCCAAGGGATTTGATACATTTTGGCATGGCCACCTTCACTAATTACATCATCATGTCACCCCCAAGCTGTCAAGAGAATGTTAGTTCGCAAAAATGCAAGTTGCGGACGATGGTCATGGTTAGAATTCACACCATCATGTTCACCAGATCATCATGCCAACCTCAACTAATGTATTTACGAGCTTGGGTTTTAATTTTAATATAAAAAAGCGGGAGGGGGGATTGGGGGAGGGCGCAGCGCCTCCCCCCAGAGCAGAATGGAAGCACCTCTTCTCACATGTAATGTTGCTAGTTTTCAACAGAAGGTTAGTTCGCAAAAATCGCAACCTGTCAACCCCAACTAATGTAACTTGGGTTTAAATATAAAAAAGCGGGAGGGGGGATTGGGGGGAGGACGCAGCGCCTCCCCCCAAAGCAGAATGCAAGCATCTCTTCTCACATGTAATACAATGTAATGCTGTCAGCTTTCAAGAGAAGGTTGGTTCGCAAAAATGCAAGCTGCGGGCGATGGTCATGGTTAGCATTCACACCACCATGTTCACCACATCATCATACCAACCCCAACTAATGTATTTACGAGCTTGGGTTTTAATATAAAAAAGCGGGAGGGGGGGATTGGGGGGAGGGCAGAATGCAAGCACCTCTTCTCACATGTAACGCTGTCAGTTTTCAAGACAAGATAAGTAATGTGATACTCAGGGATGTAAATACTGTGCAAAATGCATCAGAGAAGAGCAGAGAAGCAGAAAAGAGAAAAGCAAGAAAAGCAGAGAAGCAGAAAAGCGGAGAAGCAGGCAAAGCAAAAAAGAAGAAAAGCAAAAAAGCAGAAAAGCAAACAGACAGGAAAAGCAGAAAAGCAGAGAAGCAGGAAAAGCAGGAAAAGCAGAGAAGCAAAGAAACAGGAAAAGCAGAAAAGCAGAGAAGCAGGAAAAGCAGAGAAGCAAAGAAACAGGAAAAGCAAAAAAGCAGGGAAAGCAGGAAAAGCAGGAGCAAAGCAGAGAAGCAAGCAGAGAAGCAGGAAAAGCAGAAAAGCAGAGAAGCAGGAAAAGCAGAGAAGCAAAGAAACAGGAAAAGCAAAAAAGCAGGGAAAGCAGGAAAAGCAGAGAAGCAAAGAAACAGGACAAGCAAAAAAGCAGAAAAGCAGAGAAGCAGGAGAAGCAGAAAAACAAAAAAGCAGAAAAGCAGAGAAGCAGAGAAGCAGGAAAAGCAGGAAAGCAGAAAAGCAGAGAAGCAGGAAAAGCAGGAACAGCAGAGAAGCAGGCATCCAAAAAAAAATCCTAAACCTGATCAAAAAAGAAAACCTAAAATAATTAGCCCTCCTTTGACAAGTGCAGAAAATTCATGAAAATTCGATATCTTGCATTTTTCTGCTTGAATCCGCCGGGGTGTCTGAGATGATCCACGATTGGCAAAAGTACGCACAGCTCTAATCCGCAGTGCTCCGCAACGCAAGTAGCCATTGAGTTGGCGGACCAACGCGATACATTTTGCGCATCGTCATCAGCTCTACGTGTTGGAAAACTGTGGTCCCTTGCGACGCTACAGCTGGCAAGTGAGGTGGGATATGGCGAGTTCGCAGCGCTAATTGGCCTCTTAACTTTAGCACACGGCACACGGCACACGGCACACGATACCTCGCCGAAGGGTGCCGATGGTTGCATCATACGGGCGAGACTTCGATCGCTACTCACACTTTTTGCACCGCAATCTCTCTTCGGTCTCAATGTGTCAGCCGGCGGCTACAAAGCAGAGCTGACAGAGTAGCAGAATAAGAAAAAGCGGCGCAGAAATAAACAAAGCTCATGTCGAATCTAGTTTGGGTGCATATAGTTTGCACATGCAAAAATATTGACAAGTGTTGATGGAAAGGATCTTGACCGGAACTGGTTCTTTTTCTCGCTGCTGAACTCCGCCTTGAGAATGTCACGGGTTTCTTTGAAGAAAACGGTGTTAAGCGTGGTATACCGATACGGTATAGCACCATTACACACGATCGGTTCTTCCCGATAGCTTTTAAATCTGCGCTTCAATCCGCTCAGAGCTCGTCGATGACCTCAAACTTGAAGATGGAGGACTTGTCGGACCCTCTTCGTAGCAGTTCATATCTTTGCAGTTTATATATAATTTATATATGTTCACATAGTGTTTGTATAGTTTTCAGTTTTCAAAGATATATATATATGTGTGTGTGTTTGTTACATGTTAATATAAGTGTCATATGACTTTCATCTCTCATGTTGCTGACATTGGTATACGCTATTGTACGCTTACATACATGCACCATGGACCATGTCTGACGCATCAAGAACAGAAAGTGTCTACCAACAGTGCTATGTGCAGCCAAAATGCTTTGATCGGAACTTCGTGTACATCCTCCTGCTCAAGTTTGCATTTTAAGACCTGCAAGAAACACGCAATCAATGCACGGTTCAACTTGCAACTGCACACCGCTGTCAACAAACTTTAAGAGTATTTAAATGTATTTAAGATATTTAAGAGCAATCAAAGTTAGCTTGCTTCAAACTTGCTTCCACCTCGAGTAAACTTGTTCTGCTCTGGGCTGAGAAGTTGAGGCACCAGCAATTCCACCATCTTGGCCCTCTTGTTTCTCCCTGTCACAATGGGTTCAGGCCGGAAGATCAAGAAAGCAAACGGTCACAACCCACAACCAATCTCACACTGGCAACATTCTCTGCCATCATAACCATCCACTACTATCCGTCCATGGAGCAGTGCCGAGATGAAAACAGAAACAGGCATGAAGTAAAGTAATTCAAGCAACCAAGTATGAAGTAAAAGCAATGTGTGAAGGGAAAAGAAAACAAGGGAGGTGGGCTGGAGAATCATTGAAATGATCAGGGACTATCCACTGCGTCCGTTTGTCAAGTGATTGGTGAAACAGGCTGGCAAGGCTCGCAAGAGTCGGTGGAGACGCCCACAGGGAGTTTCACCTTTCATCAGAACTGCCCCCATCTGCCCCATTTGCCCCGTCTTGTCACCAGACAGTTGACCCTTTTCGCACTCCGAAGCCGAAGCATCCAAAGCTGGGAAAATCCTAGGTTTAATTCGTGGTGTTTTCGCCACCGCGCCGCTGAAACCAACGACCAACTAACCACTGCAACGACTGCAACCTACCCTTTTGATCCTTACCAACAGCCAACACTCTTCTCTCACCCAGGAAAACAGCGCTTGCAACACCCGCCTTGCTGATTGGAGCATCAGTTGTGCTGGATGGAGCCTGTGCCTAGCGACAAACATCTGGAGCAAATGAATGCTGCGGTTGAAAGAGCAAGTCTGCAACGATTCCACAAAGAGCTGAAATATGATACAAACAAACAAACGAAAGATGACCTGCTTATAACCTGCTTAACATATCTTAACATGCTAGGACTCCAAGCCTCTTCGGGAGACCTTGAACTGTCACCTGCAGAACAAGATTGATGATTAGTGATGTAGCCCGGATAGTTTGATCATGAATCTAGATGAATCTAGACTTCATCTAGACTTCATCTAGATCATCTAGCTGAATCTAGCTCACTACTATTTTAATCACAAATTATGATACCCTGCGGGAAAGAAATGCTCTGTAAGAGCTAGCCAAACCGAGACTCTTAAACAATTCGAGGGATTGCCCTGCTTCCTCGACCGTCACAAGCATGCAAGTGATTAATGCGATGAAGCTCCAGGGATCTGTCCAAGTTGCTTTTCCTTGGTAATTTTATAAATTGGAAAATCGATAAATCTCAAAACATCTGATAACTGGTTGATAACTGAATGAACAATGATGAAACCCCACCTTCTTTGGAGGCTTTGGAGGCGTTGAAGACCAGCACCTGGCGGTCCCTGGCGGTCCCCTGGCGGTCCCTCCGAGTCCCAACGATTCCCCGTGCTCTTTGGACGAACATAGAGACGCCACATCGCTGTCTGCATCGGAAGTCCGGAAGTCAAGCGAAACATCGTGAAATATTTAAAAAAACATCATAGATCATCATAGATCATCATAGATCATCGTAGATCATCGTAGATCATCCAGAAATCCATGATACAAGAATCAACTGCATGTCAACTGCATGAATTGTAACTGGGGAATACTACCTACGGTAGGGATGTAAGTGAAGTCTCCAATCTTTTTTCATCCCTGCGGACGGAAGGTCTGTGGTTTCTGAGGCATGACGCCATGACGCCGACCCACTGGTCACAAAGCGCCCTGTTCGAATTCCTGGCACTGGATGTCCACTGTGGATGTCTCTAGTCACTCTAGTCCACTTCCTCCATCTTCGAGGCCTCATCCGCAGCTCCCTCCACCTCCTCGAGAGGTGGCCTGAAAGTATGATTTCAACGATGCTGAAACGCTGATCTGGCAGGTTAGATTTCATTAGATTCCATTGAAAAACACAAGAGAAAATGCTGAACCCAGGATAACCCAGGTTTGATTTAAAAGACGGAACTGACGGAACTTCAGACTCTTCATATCTCTTCATCTTCCCCTGAGCCAAGTCATCCAAGTCGTCCAAGTCGCAAGTCATCGTCGTCACCAAGGCCCTCGTCATCATCATCGATGGAGAGGCCAAGTTTGATCATGCGGTGGATGCGGCCAGCGAACTGAGTGGGCTCATCCAGGTTGAAGCCAGATGTCAAGAGCGAGGTGTCGAAGAGCAGCCAGATCAAATCCTTCACTGTCTTGTCGGACTTGTCTGCAGCTGCCTTCTTCCTCTGTTGAATCTGTCTACAAAAAACTGTTTCAGAACTGCTTCAAACTCTCATTTGGGTTCAGTTTCTTTTAGTTTCTTTCCTGTTTGGGGCAATATGGCCAGCTATGAACACTCAATCTCATCCAATTGAACCAATTGAATTGATTGAACCAATTGAACCAATTGAACCAATTGAACCCAGGAGCTTAAGCTCAACCATAATGGAATGCTTTGGGTTCACTTCCATAGTCTTCTTAGAGACCATGTAGGAAGTCATGGAGTTGTCACGAAGGGCTTGAGCTTTCATGATGCGTTCCATGTTGGCAGACCAACCGTACTCGGAGGTGGTCAACACACAAGGAGAGTCTGCCATGCGAGAGCTGACGAGGACCTTCTCCACCTTGTCGCCAAGCACCTGATTCTGCGGCATGCCTTGTTGTAAGAAAAAAACAAAGTCGTCCGGAACCATACATGGTTTTAATATGTTTTAATGCTGTGACGTACAATGACAATATCTTCAGAACTCGGCCACTCAGAATGTCATTCAAAAATGCCCAAACCAACAAACCAATCCAAGTGCCTCCTTCATGAGTTTGGTCAATGGCTCAAATTCCGCTTTCAGTTCCTCGATCTTCTTCTTCTCATCCTCGTCATCGATGTCGAGACCCTCCTTGGTGGTGCTCTTCAGCTTCTTGCCATCGAACTCCTTCAGCTGCTGAGTTGCATACTCATCAATTGGGTCAACCTCGGGCGCGCAGCAAAACTTTGCACTTGACTCACTTGACAGTGGCCAAAAGACTGTGCCAACATGTGCCAACCATCCAATCATGCACCTCATCAACTGTCCATATGTGAAAGGAAGTTGGGCATTCTTTGAAAGTGATGGATAGTGAAGGCAACGAAATGGCGATGCATCTTGGATTGTTGGAAAACCAACAACATGATTGCCGGAAAACCAACAACATGGGTCCATGATTGTCAATGAGTCATAATGAGTCAACTTGGAAAATTCAATAAAACTCGCAGTGACAAGATATGACAAGCAACCATGTACAGCACTTCGATTCCCTTCTTGCGGAGGGTCTCCAAGAATGGAGAGGAAGACACTGCAGCAATGCTTTCGCCAGTGATGTAGAAGATGTCGTTCTGTCCTTCCTTCATGCGGTCCACGTACTCCTTCAGGCTGATCTGCTCATCGCCAGACTTGGAGGTGTGGAAGCGAAGGAGCTCTGCAATCTTGGTGCGGTTGGTGGAATCTTCATGCACCCCAAGCTTCAGGCACTTGCCAAATGCTTCGTAAAATTTCTTGTAGTCATCCTTCAGGCGTTCAAATCGAGATGACTCAACAAAACAAGCTAAGAAACAAATATGCTAGTTCAAGGGACCACATACTTGACATTGGTTTCCAGTCTGATGCTAGGAATGTTATACAGTTGTTTGACACATTTTGGAGGACAACAAATCCATACAAATCCTAATCCTAGGTCCTAAAACTTCGTATTGATTGTCCAATGTCAAGCTGTCAAGCCGTCAAGCCGTCAAGCCGTCTCCCTGTCCTTCTTCTCTGCGATCTCTGCGAACATCTCCAAGCACTTCTTCACGAGATTCTTCTTGATCACTCGCAGGATCTTGTTCTGCTGCAAGGTCTCACGGGAGATGTTCAGTGGCAGATCCTCGGAATCCACGACGCCCTTCACAAAGTTCAGCCACTCGGGCATCAGTTCCTCGCAGTCGTCCATGATGAAAACTCTTCGCACGTAGAGTTTGATGTTGTTCCTCTTCTTCTTGGTTTCGAAGAGATCGAAAGGAGCCCTGCGAGGAACGAACAACAAAGCACGGAACTCAAGCTGACCCTCCACGCTGAAGTGCTTCACGGCAAGGTGATCCTCCCAGTCGTTGGATAAGGACTTGTAGAAGCTTGCGTACTCTTCATTTGTGACGTCTTCCGACTTCCTCATCCACAGAGGTTTGTTCTTGTTGAGTTGTTCCCACTCGTGGGACACTTCTTTAACTTTCTTTGTCTTCTTTTTCTTCTCCTACTTGGCGCTCACGCAAGCTGAACGCAACAAGTTACGAACCAATTTGTTTTCTTCCCCAAAACTCAATCTGCCATACCACAAAAAAAAAAACAAATGGGACTAAAAAATTCCCCTCATTCTCTTCCGGCCACACTCTCCGTCAATCCGCACTCGCTCCCCACGGGTTTGGCAGATTGAACAACAACCCAAGCATCGAAGATCCTTGAAAAAAAAAACTCAATTTGTACAGGGTCGACTGGGTCGACTGTCCTCCTTTTCCTTCTCCTCATCCACTTCTTCAATCTTTGGTTCATCGCCTTCCCCGGGTCTACAGTGTCAGCTCAGCTGTCAAGTCAGTCCGGACAGCTGGGGCTATACATATCGTTTTTTAAATCATATACGATACTAACACTTTAATACGTCCATCAATATATGTGAATCAAACAAACAAATATATGCGTATACAACCCTCTCCATCCTCTCCTCGATATCTGGCACCCTCCTCTACATGACTTGTGTATGTACGTGTCTGAATCAGCGGATATCCGACCCACCCAAATTTCGATTGCCTTCTTCCTTCTTTTCCTCGGCCTCACCTTCATCTTCGCTGTCTGTGACTTCCTTCTCCTTGCTCTTCTCCACGTAGAGTTCGATGGGGAAGCCAATGAACTCAGAGTGTTTCTTGACCAAGTCCTTCAAGCGGCGCTCCTCAAGGAACTCTGACTGATCCTCCTTGAGATAGCAAATGATTTTTGTTCCTCTCTTAATTTCGCCATGCACAAGCTCTGTGTCCTTCTGCGCCTCACAAATCAAAGCAAGGACAGACAACCTTCTATACATATGTATATACATATACATATACATATATACCAGTATATACGTGTTGATACCAGTAGTGCCGCACAAGGCGGCGGCGGAAGTTTCAAACAAAAGGAAGCTATAGGGAAGGTCAGTGCTTGTGATGCATGGATGGCAGAGCGAAATCCATTGATGGACCGAAAGGTGGTTGCAGCTGTGCTTTTTGGAGTCGTTGCAGCGGTCACCTCAACCACAACTGCTGGATGTAGTGTGGTGTAGCAAAGTGCAATGTAATTGTAGTTGCAGTTGTAGTTGTAGCTGTAGTTGTATTCTAGTGTTGTTGCAGTTGTAGCTGTAGCTGGTGGTGTTGTAATTGTAGTTGTAGTTGGAATGTTGTAGCAGTAGCTGTAGCAGTATCTGTTGTAGTCGTAGTAATTGATGTAGTTATTGTAAGTGTTGCAGTGGTAGTGTAGTGAGGTGAAGCGGGGTGGAAGGTGAGTGCAGTGTAGTGGAGTTGCCGTTGTAGTGGTAATTGTAGCTGTAGTTGTAGCTGTGGTTGTATTGTAGTGTAGTTGTAGCTGTAGCTGATGTTGTTATAGTTGCAATGTTGTTGTAGTTGAAGTTGTAGTTGTCGTGTAGTGTGGTGGTATTGTAATCTGGTGAAGTGGAGTGTAGTGTAGTGGAGTTGTAATTGTAGTTGTAATCGCGGTTGTAGTTGTAATAGTTATTGTTGTTGCAATTGTGGTTGTGGTTGTGGTTGTGGTTGTGGTTGTGGTGGTTATTGTTGTTGTTGTCGTTTGTGTTGTTGTCGTTTGTGTTGTTGTCGTTTGTGTTGTTGTCGTTGTTGTTGTTGTGGTTGTGTTTGTGCTTGTGCTTGTGCTTGTGCTTGTGCTTGTTGCTGCGGTTGTTGTGGTTGTTGTGGTTGTTGTCGTTGTTGTGTTTGTTGGTTGTTGTTGTTGTGGTTGTGCTTGCGCTTGTGCTTGTGCCTGTTGCTGCGGTTGCTGCGGTTGTTGTGGTTGTTGTGGTTGTTGTGTTTGTTGTGGTTGTTGTCGTTGTTGTGGCTGTTGGTTGTGGTTGTGGTTGTGGTTGTGGTTGTGGTTGTGGTTGTGGTTGTTGTTGTTGTGGTGGTGGTGGTGGTGGTCGTCGTCGTCGCGTTTGCTGTTGTTGTTGTTGTTGCTGCTGTTGTTGTTGTTGTTGTTGTTGTTGTTGTCGTCGTGCTTGCTGTTGCTGTTGCTGTTGCTGTTGCTGTTGCTGTTGCTGTTGCTGTTGCTGTTGCTGTTGTTGTTGTTGTTGTTGTCGTTGTCGTTGTCGTTGTCGTTGTCGTTGTCGTCTGGCGTGGCGCAGTTGAACGTCCAAGTGTGCGTGATCCGAACATGCAGTGCTTTTACCATAGTGACTTCGAAATGTGCTGCGCGCCACAACAGCGTGCACTTTCTCCACATCTCAACGTCCACAAGTGCTCCGAACCTGAAGTGCTTTGAGCATTTTGACTTGGAAATGCGCTTCGCGCCAAAACGCAATACACTTTTTCATCATCTCAACTTCCACGCGCGGTCCGACAATAATGTGTTTTAACCATTTTGGCTTGGAAATGCCCTTCGCGCCACAACGGCGTGCAATTAGCCACAAAACAGTGGAAAAACACGGTGTTTCGTGGCTTTTCTACCTTGTCGCGCACCTGCGCATCTTCTTTCTTCTGACTCTTTCTCTTCTCTGATCATTTTTCTACTGACTCTTTCTCTTCTCTGACTCTTCCCACCTCTGCTTTTCCATCTGTCCACACTGTCGGAAGTTTGACTTCCAAACTTTCTTCGATTATATATTTCTACGTACTCATGGTACGGTAATTCGTGGGTCTAGCAAAAAATGACTTGTCTCGGAGGTTAGGCACGGTGAAAGAGCCGCCAGCGCCACTCTCCTTGGTTGGCCGAGTTCAGAGCGGAAATTTGGATTGAAAGTTGAAACCTTTGGAAAAGAGGATGGGAAATAACCTAAGGAAACACAGTTCAAACTTTGAGGTTGCTCATTGCTCAATGCTCAGAACAAGCAAGTTTCCCAGATGTATTGCTCGTCATCGTTGTGTTTGCTGATGACTCGCACCTGAAAGCAAGAACAAACACAACCTGGTGGCATGATGTGCACTCATTGGTTTGTGAACTCTAGGGGCTGAGGGCTCTATTTTGTCGAAAATCAATGTCAGATTGAATCATGTGGTGAATTTGTTGATCACGTTTGAGGTTTCTATTTTTTTCGAATATATAATAACGTGATCTCTCCTGGCTAATTCGGGCACCTTGTCTGAAACCAAATAGGCACTGTAGAAGCCGACACCAAACTGTCCGATCATGCTGATGTCACCGCCAGCTGCCATTGCCTGAACGTGCCAAACTGAACTGATTCATAGCAAAGTGCAAACGTCAAGGTCGCAAAATTGAATGGGGACAAAGAATGGAAAAAGTGCATAAACACATGAATGAAAGAATGAGATGGATGCAAACAGAAAAATGAAAAATGAAAGACCAAAGAAGAAAAGGAGGGGGCGAACACACGCAAAGAAAAAAAAACAACGC